GAGGAGGAGGAGGAGGAGGAGGAGGAGGAGGAAACTTCGTTCTAAGTCCTTGTGTACCACAGCTGCTGCAGCAGTCCGACATTGTTCCTCGATGGAACTTGGGGAAGCCAGTCGCTGGAATGCTCTTCGTTGTCAGGGCGTTGGAGTCAAGATGACGATGATGGTTGTGGCGGAGAATGCATATAGCGCTGAGGAGAAGGAGGAGGAGGAGGAGGAGGAGGAGGAAGAGGCTGGAGATGCCAGGCAAAGAATTCTCTTAGAATACAGTCAACGAAAGTCTGCTGGGGCTCTGCTGGGGAGTTCCAGCGACTTGTTGACAGGAGGCGCCTACCCCAGAGTCTTCGACACAGCGAAGAGAGAGCTGAGGAACAACCATGAGCCGCTGATGGAGGAGGAGCAAGAGGAGCACGAGGAGGAGGAGGAGGAGGAGGAGGAGGAGGAGGAGGAGGCTTGCAGGAGGTGGAGCGAGGGGAGGGGCCATCAGGACGTGCTGTACCTCACGGAGGTTCCACAGTTGATTGAGAGGATGGCTTGAGCCAAGAGTCTGGCGCAGGAGACGACCTGATGGACATTCAGATGAGGAGGACGTTGCGAATAGGAGAAGCAAGTGGAGGAGGACGGAGGAGGAGGTCATAGAATCACCTTGATCTTCTCCTTCAAGGCAAAGGCAGCTGGGGAGCCCTCCTCCACATCTTCGCAGTCGGTCAAGACCAGCATGGGAGCAAGGCGAGTCAAAACTCAGCTCATCACCTTTGCTGATGGGGATCGTGTCTGCTACGATGACGTGCTTCAGCGAAGACTTCCCGATGCGATCGAGCGCTGGACCTTCAGACGAAGCGTCAGGCACGGAGGAGTGAGGAGGAGTGAGGAGGAGGAGGAGAAATAAGGAAGGAGGGAGGAGACACGTGAGGAGAGCGAGGAGGAGGAGGAGGAGGAGATAGCACGGGGAGGAGGAGGAGGAGGAGGATACCGCTGAAGAGAGCATGCGTGCAGCAGGCAGAGACCGAGAGAGCTCCCATCTCACGCAGCGAGTCTGCAGACTAGAGGGGCCAGTCAGCAAGGAGGAGAGGGGCGATAACAAGATCCCTTACTTTACAGAGAGTGCCTGCTGTGTCTATCATGTCGTCCACGATGATACAGTGCTTCCCTTTGATCTCTCCCACGATGTTCATGCCCTCCACCTGCTCAAGATCGTCAGCGCTGCTCGGGCTGGGAGGGACAACGCGACCTCTCCCGCCTTGACGCGATGCTTGATGGTGATCGCCAGCGAGATGTTGGGAACGTTCATCGACGTGAGCGCCTGTCGGGGCAGGTCAGGGAGGCATGCACGCTTGAAGGCGAGGCCTTGCCTCCATGAACATCTTGGCTCTTGCCACACCTGCGAATGTCACGTGAGCCATCGGCCCAGCCCGCACTCGCTCCTCCCTCACCTCCCGCGTCAGGGGAGACGATCGCTATCGGGTTCTCCCCGTAACTCGGAATGATCTCCTTGACCATGAAGGGCACGTGCTCGACGAAGGCGTGCTGGCGCAGGCAGAGGCGTCAGAAGTTCTCCTCCTCTCCTCGCAGAGCTCACCAGGTTATCCACAGGGGCATGATGAAAGAAGCCTTGAATCTGCACCAGAGAGCCTCACGATCGAGCTGCAACGGTTAAACGGCTCCGCCCACCTGTCCGCAATGCAGATCGACAGACAACATGCGGTCGACACCAGCAGCCTGCGGCGAGCAGGCAGGAGTCAGGACACGCTTCCAACATCGAGAGAGCAGCACGATGGGTGCAGATCAAGCAAGAGGACAAGGGGACGAGCAGGATACCTCCAAGAGCATCGCAACGTCAGACGCTGAGATGGGAACGCGGGCAGTCGTCTTGCGATCCTTGAGGGAAGTCAGTCGGCTAACGCATCATGACAAGGAAATAAGGACAAACCTGTCTTGCGTATCCGTAATAAGGAACAATCGCTGTGACAGTACGGGCGGATGCCCTTCTGAAGCATCGGACCATGAGGAAAAGCTCCATCATGGCGTCATTGACCTGGCAGCCACTCCAAGTCAGCGCATGGAGGAGGAGGAGGAGGCGAGTGAGGCGAAGGAGAGGGGAGGAGCAAAGAGGATTGAGGAGTGAGGAGTGAGGAGGACGAGCAAGAAGGAGAGAGAGAGAGAGAGAGAGAGGATAGACAGCATAATTCCACAAGCCAGTCGCCTCACCGGGGGGCAGGTAGACTGAACCAGGAAGACGTGGGTGTTTCTAACGTTCTCTCCGAGCTGGATGTTACACTCGCCATCGTTGAAACGACCGACAGTCGCCTGCAAGTTCATCAGCTCCTTCATCTCCCAGCAGAGCTGCAAGCAATAACCTTCCCCAAGGGGATTCCGAGGGCCTCGGAGACTTTTTCAGCTAGCTCAGGGTTTGCGCTGCGGCACAAGATGTCACTTGCTGTGTGGATCCCCGACACGTCGTCTCACCTTCCAGCAAACAGTTTGTACGCAGTTGTACTCAGAGGGCCTGAGGATGGGCCACTAGTCGAAGACATGGTAGGAGTGAGTCCTGCACAGAGCGGTTAAGAGCGAGAGAGCACGAGAGGAACGTGGGGAGAAGCTCGCGACAGGACGTAGGCACCAACCCTCACTCCTCCGTCTTAGATGTTGATGGACCCTGCTATCTATCCTCACGCTCGTTGTATTTCTCTCTCTCAACCGCATAACAACAGTTCCACCAGCTCCCATCAATCCTCTCTCTCGCGAATTCTTCTCTGCCTCATCTCTCTCCGCACGATCAAAAGCTATGGGGGGAGCAGCAACTGCAACATTCACTCCCCCCCACCTATCCTCGTCCTGTCTACTAGGATATCCGTCATTCCCAGCGCTCTCGTGCCCCAAAGACGCTGAGCGATTGGACAACATGGAGAAAATGGAAAGGGGGCGGTGGGAGGGAGTGGCGCAACAGCAGAAGGGGGCGGTTGCAGACTGGGGCTAGCCAGGAGAAGAGGACAGAGACAAAAATGAAGAAACATAATCGGAGGATGAGAAAGACTTATGAACAATGCTGTGTGCAACCATACAAGGTTGGCAAAGTTATAGTGAATAGCGAAGAGCAACTTTGCGGTTCGTGACCCTTGGGGGTCGAGGAAGAGAGCAAGGAGGGAGCGGATCTGACGGCATTCTTTTCATGGTACTAGCAGGATGAGATAAAGCAAGGGAACAGTGAGCAGAATGAGGGGCGGCAGGAGAAACAGGAATCGGGGACCGCATCGAGTGGAAGAGACGTAGGGGGACGAGGAGGAGCTGGTGCAGCACAAAGAATGGATGGTGTTTCTTGTTATGATGGGACATTGGGCCACGAAGAGAAGGGAGGGGAGGAGGAGGAGTGGGAAGGAGCATGGAGCGAGAGCCTCCTCAACGATTGCTGCCATCTCCTGTGGCGGCAGAAACGTGCATGCTTGCGAAAGGGATGAACGGGGGTGGGGGTAACAAAACTAGGGGTAGTGTACATTTGATCATGGGTAGTGGACTATTAGGTGGTTCAAAGTACCCCTCAAGAATAAGTTTCCTGGACTAAAAACTACCAGTACGACTGGAATTGTTCGCTCTTGAGTACGGTAGGGTACCAAAAATTGGATGGTAGGGTACCAGTTTTCAGGGTGGGGGTGCCAAAAGGACGCATTTGGGAATGGGGGGTGGGGTAGGTAGACAGAGGTCGGGTAAAGTTCTACCAAGAGTGAGGGGTACTCGGTGTTTATCGAGGGGGTAGGGTACCGGGGGTAAATCTTTCCGGGTACTAATTTTACTCAAATGGGTCAGCAGACCGGTAGTCCTCAGAGGATGGGGGTGCCAACTCCAAAGCAATTGGGGGAGGAGGGGTCATCTTCGTGAAAGATTAATTTGTACCGGTAGTATAGCACTAGAAATACCCGGTGTGGTGGAAAATTGGGGAAAGGGGGTGGGTCCTTGCACGTGCATACCGTAACCTGACCGGGTGGTCATTGCCGTCCCGGGCGCCCCGGTGGCACTGGCCCCAGGCTGGCCACCGGGGGCGGCGGGCCCGGCGGCGGCAGCCGCCGGCCCGGCCCGGCCCGGGATTCCCGGCCGGGCACCGGGCGCCCCGGGTTTCAGGCTCACTGGCTGCAGTACCATGCCCCCCTATGCGCCACCGCCGGGTGACCGTGACGGGCCCGGGAACGGCCGCACCGGCAGGGCCCGGCCGGGGCCCCCGCCCGGCGGCCGGGCGGCCCTCAGTGATGCCCCAGCGCCGCCGGCCCGGGCCCGAGGGTCACGCCGCACGGTTCGACCGGCCCTCAGGCGGCACTGCTGCGCCGGCCCTCGGAACTTCGGAGTTCGGAAGCACGGTCTGTCATCGATCACCCGGCGCGTCCGGCGTCGGAGGCTCCCCGGGGCGGCCGGGCCGCCCCCCCGGCCCTCGTCATTGAAATGATTAGTGCAGATTGAACGTTTCATTTCTGTAACAAAATTGGACTGTTACGGTCATAACGGTTGCCCCTTCGATTTCCGCCATGGCATCGGAGATTGTGGAGGTGAGTCGAGAGGAAGAGGAGGAGGAGGAGGAGGAGGAGAGGAGAAGGAAGGATGACGATGAGAGCGTTGTATGAGACAACTCCGATGAGAAGAAGAGTGACATAAGCATGAGGAGGACCAGAACCTGGTTGTGGACAGGAGGAGAGAACTTTGCGTACCACAGAGGAAACGATGCGACGGGATGAGGAGGAGGTCTGAGAAGGAGGAGATGCAGAGGGTAGGCAAGTCAATGAAGATGAAGATGAGTATCAGATGGCGATGAAAAAGAGCAATCATCAGGGCCGAGCTCTGGTCGAGTATATCGGAGATTGGCTGGAGGGAGGGGTCGGAGGGCACAGGCAAGGCAGGCCATGGGTTTAGAGGGGAGGGGGGAGGCAGGGGGCAGAACGAGAGTGCACAATCAACGCATCTTAGAGAGGGGCAGATTGGCTATGTGGCTCCTGTTATCTGTGTGCAGCACGTAGGTGGAGAGGTATCTTGACAATTCCCGTTCAGAGCTTGTATACTGGGAAAGGCATCCGACCAAAAAGTGGACAGGTCTTTTGACATGGGCCTGTTATGTTGAGAACTGAGTTGCTGCTGCAGCCGTTGATACAAGCAGAGTGGCTCGCGTCCAAGAGTGACCTGGTGTGTGTTGGCCCCTCCCTTCGATGCTCTAGTTTGTTCCAGCTTGCGAAAGCAATGCTGGAGGCTGAGTTGCTGTTTGTCGCGTTCCAATTCTTTGCAACTGTATGCTTCTCTCCTCGTTGCAGCAGCTTCACATCATCGCTGTGAGCTCTGCAGTGCGGGTGTGTTGACATCCTGGCCTACAGGAGCGAGAGAACTTACTCGTCGGAAGCATGAAGCCCAAGACTGACACCGTTGCCATCGCGACAAACCAGTACCAGCGCAGGAGCACTGAGCTCCGACAGCAGGTCCGCTGTGCATTGTTTGCCTCCCCTCCATACCGACGCTGAAGTCCTTCACGTAGTCGATGAGGGATTGGGACATCGTCACCCCGCCAGGCTCGCCGACTCACATGCACGAATTCTGTAAGCAGAGCTCTGCAGTCCTGCTGTCCACAGCCTGCTGATCCTTCTTTTGTCCCTGATCTTTTGTCTCTTCCAGGTGAACTCGCTCAGATCTCCCTCCGGCATGACGTCGACAAGTTCCCTCTGCTCCCTCCTGCTGCTCCGAGCCAGCAGGTGGCACCGTTCCGCGGGCAAGGAGAGAAGGTAAGGGCTCATCGGGTCGACGAGGGGAGGAGGAAGGGAAGGAGTTGAGTGCTGCTACAGGCCTGTACCATCAGGTTGCGTCAGTTCGACGAGATGGAGCACCAGCGGGTCGGGACTCCGCTGTCGAACTCGTGAGTGCTTGGGGAGGGAGCTGGAGGGGGAAGGAGAGGGGGTCTAGGGGGGGGGGAGGC